GTTAATTATGTTGATTTGTGGAGAATTTTTCAGCTTTTGTAACTTACATTGTTGAAGTCGTTTTATTCACTCGAAGAACATTCAGCAATTGTAGTTTCCATTTTATTGGAAATAATCTTGACTCTGATTAACAGAATGTGAAATGTTATATGAGAGTATTTCTGGTTTCATTTTGTATGTTATTCACCTACATTTATAATTATATCTCTCTCTCGTTCGTTCCCGGCCCCCCCCCTTTGATATCACTCATGTAAGGCGTGTATTGTTCTGCTTAACATTACCTTTTTCCCCCTTTCTGCTCACCACCTTCCATCTACCATGCACAAATTGGATATAAACATGTTTGTAAAATGTAAATTACAATGAGTATTATATTAAAAATAGTTGTACTGGTCTGCCTCAGTGTACTATGCTAGCTGAACTGGAATTAGGTTGGAAAAAGTGGAGGATACCATAACCATTCCATACAGTTACTGAATATTGTCAATCTCTAAGTTATGTGGAAAAATTAAGGCATCATTGTTGGGGTTAACACAACAAATGAACCCAATCGTTAACAATTCTAGGTGATAGCACTGAGAATCAACTGCAGTGGTACAGCTATATTCATGCTTTATTTTCATCCTATGCTCTACTTTCGTTCTCATAACCTTATATTGGTGTTAACTAATGTGGATTATATCTGCTTGCTTTCCTCAAAGATAATATAACATGAACAGTGAGTGACAAGGCAGAAACCCAGTTTTTTGATATATTCAACTAATCGCTTATTTGAACTAAATAGTGGAAGTTTTAACCTTCACTAACTACTCTTTATGAATAGAATAAATGACGTTTAGTAGAGGATATAAAGACAATTACTGATAAGTGTAATCAAGTAACAAGTATTCATTAGGCGGTTTTCCTGTATGTCTAACAATAAATAGCTGGTGAAGTTGCATTTTATTGAATTGTAGTATTTATCTTAGCTTTCAGCTAAATAAATCTCCATATTACATTGTTTATTTGATATGGCACACAGTGATACGGTATTACTTACTGCATGAAGTTCTGAGCAGAATTTATTACTCATATTCATATCACAGTAATCATTTGACCTTCACATTTCCTTTACATAGTCCGACAGCTCTCCATTCATTTAGTTTAATGGTAGTAAATTTTTCCGTATCCTGTTACCTGTATCAGGTGTGGATTCAATGAACTGAAATTCTATGATGCATCTTTTCCTCCCCTAGCTATATTGGATTTTAAGATTGTCACCCTATCCCACCCACCGTATAGTGTGATTACAAGTCAATTCTTGCAAAGCGATAGCCGAGTTTTTCTCTAAATTACTTGTCTTCATAGAGTCAACCATTATATGTTTCGCTAAATCTTTGTGTTCTGTTATTCTGACTAACCCCGATCGGCTGCTTTGACCTATATACTTGACCACATAATCATTACATGGTATTTGATATACTAGGTTACTTTGCCTAATTGGCCTTTTACTAGACCCCTAGCCTACATAGTTTCTCTGATTGAGTTCTTGGGTTTAAATGCCACCGTAATTCACTCTAATAGCACACAATGATTATGAGATCAAGTATATAGGTCAAAGTAACTGATCTGGTTCACTCAGAATAGCAGAACATATATAATGGTAGACTCTACAAGATAAGTAACTTAGAAAAAAACTCGGCTATCGTTCTGGATGAGCTGACCCATAATTACACTAAACGGTGGGTGGGATAGGGTGACAATACTAAAATTTAATATATCTAGGTGGAGGAAGAGATGGATCACAGAATCTTAGTTCATTAAATCCACACTTAACACATGTAATAGGAATTAATAACTCATTTCATATTGCAAATAAGTGGAAAATTTTACCACCATTACAGTAAATGAATGAAGAACTATTGGACTATGTTAAGAAAGTGTGAAAGTCGTACGATTACCGTGATATGAATATGAGTAATAAATTCTGCTCAAAATATCATCTAGTAAGTAGTACTGTATCGCTCTTCACTACGCCACATGAAATAAACAATATAATATAAAATTATGGTCTACCACAGTACCCACGTTTTTCCCTTACATAAATAAATCTCAGTGATTCACGTGCATCTCTTCGAACTTGTAAAACAAGGTCTCGAATTCTACTCCAACTAATTTTGTTCAGATTGTTTTCAAGTGAATGATATGACTTAGAAGCCAGTACACAAACCTGTATATGACCATTGGGTTTTATGCATTGGATTGAATAAGTGTTCCAAATGAGAATGCTATGAAAATACGTGATAGCTTAATGTAGTCGGCTGGGTAATTACGTGATGAAGCCGAATTCCCCAGTTTTTTTTTTCACGCTAATGATTTGTTTGTGACCTCAATCTCAATTACTTGGTGGGGGAGGGGGGGGGGTAAACATTCTTTCACGTGACATTAGGTGACTGTGTGTTAGGTGGAATAATCAACCGACTTTCATGTCCAACTTGTCGATTACATTGGGAACATAGTTATAACAAGCTTCGATTCCACTGACCAATCAGTATTCGAGAAGTTGCAGTCTTAGCAAAATGCTATAATTGTGTCTTTCACTTTTTTAAAAATTCCCATACGGTCACATTACTGAGGCATTCCTTTGTTTAAAGATTTCAGTGAAGATGAATAGCGTAGTGCGGAAACTATTTGCATAACAGGATGCTGTCATTTTATATCGTAGGATTTTCCTCACCTGCATACAACCAAAATAAATAATTTAATAATCTCTGTGACAGATTTTAGAATACGTCACTTGTAGCATCTTAAAATATCAGTTAGTGTTAAGGTAGTACTGATCACGGACTTATATCAGCTAGAGAACCATTGAAGAACCTGAGAGGATTGGATAGCCGTTTAGTCTTAGTATGGGACTCCTCAGTAGTACACACCCACGATTCCGCTAAGGATCGAACTCATGACTTTCCGGTCTCACGGTGAATGCGTTAACCACTCAGTCACTGAGTTGGAGTTCAGTGGTCTGCGGTTTCTAACTTCTGTCAATTCGTGATATAGCACGACTGTCACCCAAGGTCTTCAGATGGCATCCGCTTCCCTTCCGACTGGTCACGGCTTCTCATTAGAACTTCAGGATACCCATCTGGAAGCATTGTCTGCAGTGAGCATTAAACAGCAATGTATTTCACTTCACAGTACCATGAAAATTAAAGTAATAAAATTCATTTAAACTATAAACTTGATTATGAACAATAAACTACGAACAGTTTTTGTTCGTGTACTTAGAAGATGAAGTTTATCTGAGCGATATCGTTTAAACAAATTGATCACACATTTACTTGTCACTTTATATTAAACCAAATGATCGGAGGACAAATAGAACAAGTGAGATTAAAATTAAGAAAGATGAGAACAAAACGAATTAACTTAGTTGATCCTAATCTTGGTAATCAAACAAAATTTACCAAGGTAGGTGTAGTGCAAGAACACTCTCTTTTTGTACACATACAAAGTTGGTTTCAATTTGTGTACGGTAGTCACTTCCACAAATCTCAGTATACGTCCTTGACTGTTTCTATATAAATCTTTGAAAGGTGTTTAAACAATAATTTTTAACCCGTTTCTGTAATTTTTTCATCTATAGATGAAGAAAGTTGTATCCCACCTGAGCGCACATACACTTTTGAAGCCATTTAGTTACATATTCCCCCACTCTCAATTGTAACCACACACACAATGGGATATGACAATCATCGGTTCAGTGTTTAAGTTTTTAGTGAAACATCTACCTTGCCTTTTCCAAAGTGATAAACTTAGCTGCCTAATATGTTGTACTTATGCCTGATGTAAGCCTACATCTCAGTTATACCACCCACCTTCCTCTTTGTTAGTGATATGGACAGTTTTAATAAGGACCGCGTATAAAGTGAGCTTTGGTTTGTTACCTGACTTCTACAACGGTTTATCAACTCCAACGGATATCCATTTCCTATAAGTGTTTTAGTCAGTAATTTGACATCTTCATCCATCGTATCCCCCATGTTCGGATGCCACAGATAGTTTTATTAGAACTCCTTTGTATTTGATCGGATCTGTCAATATTCAGATATTGTCTTATTCATGTAGGCTGTCTGTAGATTGACCATCTGCAACTCAAGAGTGCATTGAAGAATGACAGGTGATAACTATTGTCTTCCTTCTAAGTTGGTTTGATATGATTTCCAACAGCGTTGAGATTTTTAATAGACAGTCTATATTTCCATGCTTCTCACAAATTGCTATGATATCGTTGACATATCTCTTGTAAATAAAAACTTTAGCGACGAGATCACCAGCCAGATTTTCGATATATGACATAGAAATATCAACCAGTAATAATTCTAAGGGACTTCCCATAGCTACATCGTCAACTTCTTTGAGAGTGTTTATCTTCAAATGTGAAACAGACATTATCGGTACTCGATAATAATTAGTCACTTAGAAAATTTGGAGCAATAGGGAATTGTAGGTTTCGACAGAATATGTAGTCACAGACGACTGCATTTTAGCGGATGAAGAATTTACGTTAAAAGAGTATACAGTCTTGTTTTTGATATTCATGTTATTGAGACAGACAACAAGTTGAAAAGTATCTTTTGATTAGAACTTGAAGAATTCAATTTGAACTGGATTCACTATTTTCGCCAGTTTTGTGTGTGGGTGAACAACGTAGACAATACATGGTGCAAAGGATTATTAGTTTTATGAATCTAAGATAATTTACATAGACCGTATAGGTTTCAATGAGTTGGATTCGTCATTTTATTCAAAGAAAGGTGAGAAATTGTTCTTCAGTGACCAAGGTACCATTACATATAAGTAGAAATGGTTGCGCAATCATGTGGGAAAATCATCTTAATCAAAAGCTAAGTAGGTGAAATACATAACAAGTATAGTAGTTATGACGCAACAAAATACACGAACTTTCCTTTCGTCTTCTATGTATTCATTGAAAAGTTTATACTTTTTTTTTTCTTCTATAGGCGATCGAGACGTACGAGAATTCAGAGAGAAATGTCGTTACCCTTGACCGCCAAATCAAATCACGCAAAGGTAATTGATATATATATATATATATATATATATATATATATATATATATATATATATATATATTCGAACCAGCGACCACCGGGCTTCTGGCCCGATGCTCTACGGACTGGGCTACGAAACCCAACTACTGACCAGATTCTTATTTCACTTCAATCATAAAGAGTTTTACCAGACTACTATGTGAATTCGTGACGTGTAACTATCTCTTGATTGTTTTCACACTGGCTGGCCAATCATCCCAATGCAAATCTACTAGATTTCGAATTTTCGGGGTGAGGGGAGCATCATATTGATTATCATTTCGACTGTTTGAGTGAGATAGCCGTGGTTTGCAGACTAGTATTGATACTGAGCCAAAGCCGGGCTATCTCAGAGAGTCAAAATGATACATATTATTATTAGTACGTTCACTTCACTGAACTGTCTATGTTAACATTGTTCAGATATGCCGAAAATTAGTGTAGCCGAAATCGATTGTATTCCACTGGTTAGATCAGTATGATCTAGTTGAGATACGACCTCTTTGACGATATATATATATATATATATATATGATAACTAATCATTCATTTCACCTACTATCCAAGCTTCATAAGTCTAACTGCTACTTTTTATAGAAAAGAGACATCATCTGTGAAATTTTATCCATATGAAGCATCTTAAACAAAGCTTAGCTGACGCTATTGGTTTCATAAGAATCATTTAGACTTTTATTACAACCATAAATTTTGAATACTATTATTATTATTATTAGTCCCTTGAGTTCCTAGTGGAACATAGGGCTTCAGTAGCACGTCTCCAGTGACCTCTGTTCTCTGGGATCTTTTGAACCTGGTTCCACGACAGCCCAGAAGCTCTCATTTCCTCCTCGCACGACCTCCTCCATGTCACCTTTGGACGTCCAACTCGTCGCTTCCCATGGGGATTCCACTCGAGCAACTGGCCTGACGCGTGATGTCCCCAGTCGGCCTTCTCAGTGTATGCCCAATCCATCTCCATTTCCTCCTGCATATTTGTTGGGTGATAGGTTCTTGGTTGGTTCGTTCCCAGAGCTCCTTGTTGCCTATTCTTTCTGGTCATCTGAGCTTCAGTAGCGAGCGTAAGCAGTTGTTGATGAATGTCTGTAGTTTATTGGAAAATCCCTTTCGTAATGCGCCAAGTCTCTCAACCATCACACAGAAGCACTGACTTGACGTTGGTGTTGAAAATCCGGATGTTGTTCACGCTTTATGCTGAGTGTGTTAGATCTCCACACTAGTTTCAGGCTAATGAACGCCTGTCTTGCTTTTCCGTTTGAACACTATGGTACTTTATAATTCTATTTTAGTTGATGTATATCATCAGATATAGCATACAATGAAATTGTGCTACATCTAGCTTTTGGACCTTTGTAAATAATTCCAGAGTTAATTAAGAAAAAACACTTCTGAAGTTTGATAGACTATAATTTCATTTTTATTGATTTATTAGATTTGTCACACAGTGTAATAGTATCGTTTACTGAATTAAGTTTCGGACATAATTTGATTGTCCATAGTCCACATCAAGATAACTACACAACTTTGAGACTTGATTTATTTATTTATAATCCTCTCTCTCCTTCTCTATGATAAAGATAGTAGAATTATCAACATATTTAGGACGACTACAGAATCATTCTTGTCTCTTTTTTTTTTTAAATATTGATTGGATAAGTGAAGATTCGATTATCCATCCCTCCTTGCATCCAACTAAGCTTTTATTACTGTCGTTCTATTCCATCCTATTGTTTGATTGTGTACAACCGCGTGTATAGCTATAGTCGAGCTTTTCTTTAAATTTCTTATCTTATGAGGATCTACTAATGTTGATTAAGGTAAGCTTTTGTGTCCTGTTTTTCTAATTGACCCTGGTCGACTACTTTGACCAATGCCAGGATAGGAAAAGCAAGACAGGCGTTCACTAACCTGAAACCAGTGTGGAGATCTAACGCACTCAGCATAAAGCGTCAACAACATCCAGATTTTCAACATTAATGTCAAGTCAGTGTTTCTACATGGTTCAGAGACTTGGCGCATTACGAAAGACATTTTCAACAAACTACAAACATACATCAAAACTGCTACTCTGGCTCGTTACTGAAGCTCAGATGGCCAGAAAGAATAAGCAACAAGGAGCTCTGGGAACGAAACAACGAAGCAAGAATCTATCGCTCAACAAACATGCACTGGAAGGAAGTGGAGATGGATTGGGCATACACTGAGAAGACCATTCAGGGACATCATGCGCCAGGCCAGGTCCTCGAGTGGAACCTAGATGGGAAACGTCAGTTGGGCGTCTGAGGTGAGGATGACAAGGAGGAGATCGTGTGAGGAAGAAATGAGGGTTTCTAGGTAATCATGGAGCCAGGTTGAAAAGATTAAAGAGAACAGAGTACACTGGAGACGTGTTACTGAAGTGTTATATTCCACTAGGAACCCAAGAGACAAATAATGATATAATAATGTATATTTACTTCAAATTCGTTGCAAGGGATTCGGTAAACTGAATTATTCTACCGAATTGGATCAATAGGATCTTTTAACGTATGAAGCTTGTTTCCAAGTGAGTTTGTAGGTTTAAATGCCACCCCAGAAATGTTACATAGGATTCTCAACAAGGCTGGGAGTAAAGTGGTGCCTTAAAGCTAAAAAACTCACTTCGAAATATGCTTTGTAGGTTGAAAGATCTTATTGATGTAATTAGGTAGAATAATTTAGTTTACCAAATCCCTTGCAACTATGACGAGGTCAAAATAGTCAACCAGGGTCCACTAAGCTATCCGAGCACAAAAACGTAGTCACATCAAGATTATTAGATCCCAATGAGATAGAAAATTCAGAAAAAAGCTTAGCCACAGCTATACATGGGATTACATACAACCACACAATAGGATGGGATAGGGTGAAAATCCTTAAAACTAGCATACAGGGTATAGGGTGAGATGGATAACTGAATCTTTGTTTATGGAATCAACACCGAATATATGCAGCAACAGGGATGACCCGGCATCTGTTCCAGATATATGAAAAATCTGACAACTGATATCACAAAAGAGGCTAGGAAATTAGGACTATATCAAGGATATCTCAAAATTGTATAGTTATCTTGATATGACTATGGACAATAAATTATGTCCGAAACGTAATCCACTAAATAACTGTTCCTTCACTGTGTAAAGTGGAATTCAGGTGTTTAGTCGCTCACCAGCAGATCACTAACTTATTCTCTCTCTTTTTATCCCATTGTCTTTTCTTTCTTTAAACAACAGTGGAACTAACAAAACAACAAAGTGAGAATGAAACTTTGAAGAAAGAAATTGAATCATTTCTAAAAGAGATGGTTGATATCTAATCTCCTCTCCTGTGAAAAAAAAAAGAAAGAATATTCGCTATATTTTATCCGTACCTAAATGAAGTTGTTCATATTATGCGCCCAATTACAAAGCTTATTTATCTTATGAAACTTCTTTGTTTGTTTGTGAATGGCACCTTCATTTTGACCTGCCTTCTATTGTTTTCATAAAGAATCAACATTTCTCTGAGAATGTTATTTTAGGAATGTATATTATCTATTTTTTTGTTTATGTAAAACAAGAAGACACTTGTAATCTCTACAACAGTTTCAACTGTTGTCTAGTGCTTATCTTATTTTCTTAGGAAATTTTTTAAATCTTTTTACCTCTGCAAAAAAGTATGGATTATAAACTCATTTTCTTTTATTGCTCTTTTGTGTGAAAATAACTCTTTATTATTGTCTATCTTATTTAACTATTTTTGCAAAGCATATTTTCTATATCCCACTTGTTTTTTATTTTTATTTTTCCAGTAAAAATATGCTTTTTTGTTCAAACTACTTCTTATTAGTCCTTATTGTATACGGAAATATGGTATTGTGTCGTATGTAAGGTGCAGCCATTACTTTCGCTAAGATGTGTTACTTAGAAGTAAGAATGAGTTTATTTGTCTCCACAGTTATGCTTCAGTTGCTCAATATCTTTGGAGTAGATAATTGTGGTACAGTGATTGCACACTAATTTATCTACTTTGGAATCTCACCTTCGTAGGTTGTATTTTTAGACAATGGATGATGTGATACTTGCTTACGGTTACTGAACTGTCCTCTTCTATCTACATAGCTTTCCTTGACCAGGCTTTGCAAACTGGATGGTTAGAGTGCTTTTGCATTGTCGTTGGTACTGCTTACTCTTTTCCGTAAACTTGAGTGTTTGTCATGTTTGAGGCTACTTGCTATTATATCACACTCAGTACTGCAACAAACAATCTGAATAAAAGGATCAACAACTGACTAGATAGAAATAAATGATCTCCCTGGCGGGGTCATATGTATGCATTTTTTACAAGTCTCACTAAAACGAAACAGCTGCCCAGCCTTCTCAGGTTACCTATGTTTCTCCAGCCGACGTCAGTCAGTGGTGTATATAAACCTGAAATCAATAAACAAAACCTCGAAATAGGATTAAATGAGTCGAGCGCTGTGTGGTTGGCTGATGAGTGAAACAAGAAAGCAAACTTCATTACTTTATACGAACCACCTCTTCAAAGAACAAATAAGAATAGGCGCCTTCTGCATTATGGCGAAGGATCGAAAAAATGAATGTAAAACTTGATCGGCTCAAGCTTCCAAAATTTAAGGGAATAGAAAAGTGCTTAGGAAAGGAATGATACCAAGGTAGACAACGTGGTATAGGAGAACAATCAATTTGTAGGTAGCGGTTAGTGAAGAATATAAGCTTCAGAATACGTCAAGTGGTGAATACATATGCAACCAGTCACACACTGTTAGGGCTAGACCAGATCGGCCATGGTCGGTGAGAATAATATCTTGGGGAGCACCCCATACACTAAAACCAACAAACATGGCTATCCACGGTTCACTGGAACTAACAGCCATTACATTATCAGAAAAGTGTATTCGTGATACCTATCAGTGGCACTGAAAGAGCCCAAATGGAATAGGAGCGGTGGCCATCTGCAGCCCCCAGTGTTCACCAAATCTGACAACAGTAGTGCCAAATAGACTGCTGGCTGTCAAATTCAAATACCCAGAGCTGTTCACTATAGGCATGGTGCATAGTCTAGGACGAAACCAGAGGGAAAATTCTCTATTGTGAAAGCAGAACGATGACAAGATTGTCATAGAGAGGAATTTCTGTGCCCCAACTCTCAACCTTCAGTAAGACAATGTGAGTTCAAGTCCGACTGAAATCTGCACTGGGCCGTCATAAAGACTAGGCTACTAAAAACAACTGGAGTTGATGCTCATTGGGAGTAGAGTGGAGTACGTGGTCGATTAATCGCCACCTGGGACTAGTGAGGGACGTTAATAAGACGGCTATCTCTGGAAACGTCCATGTAGTTACGACATAACCAAAGAGTTGAAAATCGTGACTGAAAGGTGACAGAAAGCGCCTCTTGAAAGCCAGGACGAAAGCATAACATAATTGGAGGATCTCCAGAATAGAGTTGGATAATACCACACATATGGCTCTATGGAGTCGATGCAACATAAAAGCGAGGTGCGACAGGATGTCGCTCGAGAAAAACTGCCCAGAAGCTCTAAGCTAACTTCAAGAACCTCTATCGATTCATATCGGAGTGAAAATCTACAAGCTTGAAAGCATGCATTATGAAAGACCCAAACGAAAAGAACCTTTCTGGACCTCATACCGCCGAAATTTCCATTGCAACCCTCCGCAAGCAACTACATATTGGGTCATCCAACCCAAACCGCCGACTACTTGCGCAAACTTCACCCTTACTTAAAGCAGAAGAGTTGCATGGGATATGAGAGACCTCACCTATGGTATTCAAAAATGTGTCAAAGCTTCGCCCAGGAAAGTCACTGGGATCCCATAAAAATTCTGCGATATGTTTCGAAAAAATATGCCAGTTCATAATGTCATTGGCTCTCTAATCCAGTCGCCGCACGGCTTAGACAAACTCATGCTTCAACGAGATTGGGAACGTGTCAATCTCCCTCCCATTTTCAAAGGAGCATGCAGGCAGAATTCAAGGTCCAGTCAACCCATAGCACATCTGAAAGTGTTTCTGAAAGTAACGGAGAGCATGGTAAGCTATCGTGTCAGAGGGCACTTCGAAAGAAAAGGATTATTAGGCGATGTTCAACTGGGTTTCCGAAGAGGTAGGTCTTGCAGTGCATACCTTCTGGCAGCCAGTGGTTAGTGGAATGCATAATGGGACCCTCAAGTTCCCTTTCATGTGGTTTTTCGGGGTTTTGCTAAAGCCTTTGACAACGCCTCACACACTAGCCTGCTGTGGGCCTGTTAAGACAGCAGAGGGTTCCGCACAAGGTTTTGGTTCCAGCAACCTGGAGAAGATCATCAACCAGCGCTTCACATGAAGCACTTCTGGGCCCGCCACTGTCTCTTCCTTTTGTGAATAACGCCTGAGCTAGTGTTAGTTCCCCGATCATACACTACGCTGACGATGTTAGGCTGTGAAGAGCTGTGACTTCCGAAGCAGAATCGTGTGCACTGCGAGAGGATTGCATAGCGCTCGTGGAGTAGGTTTATAACAACGGATTAGCATTTCACCGGGATAAATGCCAAACCACGTTTCTTCTTACTCCTGAGGCTCAAAAATTACCCCACTTTCTATGTGGTGCGGAAATTTCGCACACCGCCACTGGGAAAGATTTGGGACTAATTCCGACTGACAAGCTGTGCACCTGCTGCAACCATCCAAGTGGTGTTTACGCAGTACTGCACTTCATGTGCAGAGAACCAGATGTCCTCAGCTCGGATCATTTTCTGAAGCTCTAAAATAATTATATTCCACCTCGCTTCGGGGTCCACAACGTCAGTGCACAGCAGTACTGAAAAAAGATATGAAACTTCTGGAGAAAATATGGAGACAAGCGACGATGGAACCCAACGAAAACCTGATGAGGACAGGCAGAAGGGGCTTAGTCTTAGTTGCCAAGGGTTATGCGGTGAATTGATAACGGCCCTCAAAATACTAAGCAATCCAAGTCATACGAATAGTGGGATTCTGCCAAACGACCAGTGTGGCACTACTTTACGGCAGCATGAAGAGAATCGACCATCAAAGGGCAGATACCAGTGTGCGTTCTGACACTTACTCTTAGAGAGTATGCAGTCACTAGAGCGCGTGGCCTGAGGAGATCGTTACTGCTTCATCCGCCACAGACATAGGAACAGGTCGGGCAGCTAAGCACGGCTTGCGCTCATCCACCTGGGGTACACACTAAGTCGAAACAACCAACTACTTCGTAATGCCAACAATATCGCCAACTTCACGTGACCAAACTTCTCTGATATACACATGGCGTCACGTACTTTGCCGAAACAACGGCTTAGGGTTCGAGGTGATTCAGTGTTGATGCTGACCTTTATAGTTTTATCGAACCCGCCAAGCCAAAGACATGGTCAAACATCCACACCGTTTGGCCGCTGTCGTGTTACAGCGCACTACTCAAAATCGGCCATCCAGCCACTTAGTTGGAGAGCGTCGGTATTTTGGCACGACCTTGCAAATATACTATTCCATCCGACTGTGGCATTGCTTTTTTCTTGGCCTCGTATTCGTGGCTGCGTAACGAGTACTGATAATTAGTTGTTGGCCTCTGTGTCCCTCAAGTTTTCACGTGGAAAATTCCTAAATACTTCTTACTTCTAGGTTGCAACATCACCGCTAATAATACCATTTTTCTATTCTTATAATCCGTCCTATAATCTGACTTGCCCGTTTTCTTTCTTCTGACTCTATGAACCCAGTCTGTCCATTCGGGTTCTCCCTTCATAATTGCTACCCCTGAATCTATCAATATTAATCTTTCCTTTCCCTTCTGCTCCTTTCCACATTTTTTTGAACTTCGTCTCTCTTGGTCTTGCCGGCATCTTTTCCTCGTACCTATCTACCTTTTGCAACCCGTCCGAACCACCATGGTTTTTGAGGAACCAGTCTGCACCGCACAGGAATACTTGAACAATCATTTAATCCCTAAAAAATTAATTAAAACCCAACCGACTACAGGGTTAATCAGAAATGCAGTATGTGAGTGAGTAAACCTACTGCGCCACCCACAACGAACGCGTCATAGGAGGGCTAACTCGATCATCCCGTTCAAAGTCGGCGTATCGGCAGAGTCACTGTTGATCGAGAGAGAGTGGTTTGACAGCCGAATGTGGACCGACTACTGTCAGATCCTGGGACTCTCTCCTTTCCTTGTAAGTCTGTGTCGCCTTCCTCGCGGAAGGCGGCACCCCGAGATAAGCCGCCCCTTAACGTTTGTCCTTGAACACTGCCAAAGAGGCTGAAGACACCCTCCTTCTGTCGCGACAACCGGATGTTGTTAATGCCTGTAAAATTTGGGCCAGGCCCGACAAGCCATGGTCAATAAGAGAGGAGGAGAGAAAGGCAGCGGTTGGAAATCCCAACAGAAACAACACTATAGTTGTACATAGGATTCCAGAATTGCCAAGTGACCGCTCGGTTAAAGATGGGTACTTTCACGACTTCCAACAATGGCAGTGGCTCTCAACCAAAGTTGGTCTCGACGGTGTATCGGCCGACAGCGTCAGTAGGCCGCCAAGGCCAGCGCATCTGAATTCCACACCCAATCCCAGACTACTCGCCATCCAGTTTGACTCATATGCCTCCCTCACAGACGTTCTACACGCATGGTATAACACGAAAGTTCTCATGGTTGGCTCAGTACGCATGTGTGAATTTAAGCCTGGACTCATGAAGCAAGGGGAGAGACGGCAGCTGCCGAGATCTCTGGAGTCAGTAGTTGTTACACGGTCACTGACCGGTGAGTTAGGTGCATCGAGCAAAGAAGCTCCC